TGATAATGGTCATGGTGGTGGTGGTGATGATGGTGGTGATGATGGCGGTGGTGGTGACGATAATGTTGGTAGTGGTGATGATGGAGATGGCGGTGATGATGATGGCGGTGATGATGATGTTGGCGGTGATGATGATGGCGGTGATGATGATGATGATGGCGATGATGATGGCGGTGATGATGATGATGGCGGTGATGATGGTGATGGTGGTGATGATGATGATGGCGGGGATGATGATGTTGGCGGTGATGATGATGATGATGATTGGCGGTGATGATGGCGTTTATGACCTCCTGCCCTCAAGCGTCCCAACGTGCCCCAAACACCCCGCTGACGGCACCGCGGCGGGGCTGCGTGATCTTTGTCCGCGGGCGCGGTCAGGCGGCGCGTCGCTGGAGCTGCGTGCGGTGTCGGCGCGCCACGCTGGCGTCTACGTGTGCACCGTGCTGGGACCCGCCGGCAGCACCAGCCACCGCGCCAGCCTCCGGGTGCGCGAGCGGCCACGGAGGAGCGGGGAGGGACGACGATGGTGGTGATGACGGTGGCGGTGAGGCGACGACAACATCACCGCGTGCACCGCCGGCGACGACGATGAAGACCACGACGGCAGCGACCGTGGGGATGCTGCGGTTGTTGTCGCCGCCGCCGCCATCGATAGCGCCACCGCCACCGCCAGTCGTGCCAATGGTCAGTTCGTCACCGCCACCACAAGCACAGCCGGAACTACCAACAGCCGGGTTGTCATCAGCTGCAGAGGTGGCGGCCAGACTCTCATCGCTGCTACTCGCTCTCTCGGCGCCACCGCCGCCGCCGCCGCCGCCACCACCGTCGCGACGAACTCCAGCGGCAACGGCAACTGGACGGCCAACATCGCCAACCTCCAGCCTCTCCGGGCCTCCATCAACATCGCCACCAATCACCAGCCTCTCAGCGCCAACACCGCCAGCAGCAGCGGCGGCGGCGGCACCGGCACGAACATCACAAGCGTCACTGGCTGCACCACCACCACCACCACGCCGCGCAACCTCACCTCCCGCCCCACCTGGGCCGTCCATCCCGGCTGGCCCCAGCCATCGCGAGCTGCCACCGTGCCCCACGCTCTCCGCGGTCACTTTGCCGTCGGCGCCGCCAGCGACTCACGGCGGCACCGCCGCCGCCGCGGTGACGGGACCGCCACGGCGCAGACCGCCCGCGTCAGCGATCGAGGCCACCACCACGACGGTCAGAATCGGATTATTTCTTTATCCTGGAAGAATCCGATGAGCTGTGAAGCTTTTTTTCCCCTACTGAGACGGTGATGACGGTGGTGACGGTGGGGCACGTGGTTGGTGGGAGTTGGTGTGTCGGTAGGACACGTGGTCGGGGTGTCGGTAGGACACGTGGTTGGTGTGACACGTAGTTGGGGTGTCGGTGTGACACGTAGTTGGGGTGTCGGTGGGGCACGTGGTTGGGGTGTCGGTAGGACACGTGGTCGGGCGTGTTGCGCAATCGCCCGCGCTATGTTGCGCAATCGCCCGCGCGTGTTGCGCAATCGCTCGCAGGCACTACTGCCCAACCAACCACCGTGTCAACCCACGCGGTTTGTACCCCGTGTTCTTGTACTGGGACATTGTGTGTGCAGGTCCACACGGCGTGATGCAGCCCTTTCAATACGTGCAAATGTATCTTTTTGTCTTATTTGTTAGTGTTACTGCCCTGTGATGGGACTTTGCGGGATGAACGTTGAGATTCGTAAGGGGCACGGGATGACCAATACGGTCTGAATTGGTCTGTGATAAGGTAAGGGGCACTGATAAGGGGTTGACACCCATGCTACCGCAGTGACGAGATGTTGACAACCTCGCCTGGTGTACAGGAGGTCGTGGGTTCGATCCCGACCCTGATGCCTGCTGCTGTGTATTTGGAGTTTGCGTGTCTCTCTCTCATCATTATAACAGTGGCTAGGAGATGTTGACTACCTCGCCTGGTGTACAGGAGGTCGTGGGTTCGATCCCGACCCCGACGCCTGCTGCTGTATATTTGAAGTTTGCGTGTCTCTCTCTCCGTGATCATGTGGATTTTTCTGGTTTTCCCCTCCACAATTAGAATCAACGTCACGCGTTTAGAGTATTTGGCTGCTATCAATTTCAACGTGATGAGCCACTTCGTTGAGCTCTCATTTGTGGCCAGCTTGCTTCTGAAAAGCTTTTTAGCTCAGTGGGTCTTACCGGGTAAAATAAAAAAAACTTTTATAGCTTTTAGCTTCCAGTTTCGCACGCAAAACTTTCACTCGTATACAGGTTATAATCTTTACACCGCCACCACCATCACTACCACCACCACCACATTACTGTGCCAGTGTTACTTGAGCGGTGCGCTATTTGAAGGCTGTTTCCCTGGCGCGTGCCCGCAACTCGGTGCCTGCAATGTCGTGATTCATTCGCGTCCGTTCGTGTAAAACGCCCAACGGCCGAAAGTTTCTCGCCCCCCTGTCCCCCGCGCGTCGACGGAATCAAATCAATCCGTCGGAGCATCCTTAGGTTATTTCGGTAAAGTCACCGAAAGAACCTAAGAATATGAATCCTTGCAGTCACGAAAGCTTCAAATCTATAACGTCGGAGCATCGTCGAAGTATCCGTCCAGGGTCTCCCTTTCCTCCATCCCCACCAGCGGCGCTTGTCCCCGCCGGAGGAACCTGACGACCCTCGTCCTCCACCGGTGCTCTCGACTCCACCACCTCCACCACCTCCACCGCCACCACCTCCACCACCGCCGCCGCCACCACCGCAACCGTCATCATCGTCGCCGCCACGGACATCTCCGGTGACCGGCCGCGGTGTCGCCGCGGCCGACGCTGGCGGGGCTCCGGACGGGCGGCGAAGTGGAGCGGCGGCCGTCCCCGGCTGCGGCCGTGGGCGGGTGGCGGCTGCTGGAGCCGCATGACGTGCCGGTGGTGGTGGGCTCCTCCGTGTCACTGCTGCTCATCTTCCTCGTCATGGGATTCTACTCCGTGCGGCAGCGCTGGAGGGAGCGCAAGTGTGCAGCGAGTACGTACGGGCGTACGGCAGAGGTCGCAAACGGGTTTGGGTTCCTTACCCGTACCAGCCGGGGTACAGGTACAATTCACCTACCCGTACCCATACCTGAAATGAAGTGTACACAAACGGTTATCACCAGTGCCTCACGGCATACCGGTACAAGTACCCGGCCGCACAGGGGTCGCAAAAAAGGGTAGGAGTATCGGTGGTTACGGGTATCGGGTACCACGGTTGCGACCTCTGCATACGGGGGGGGGGGGGGGGTGCTCACGACTCAATCGGGCAACGGCCTCGTTCCTTCTGGGGTGCGCTGGTGGCTATGAGATGTGACGACCTCGTTCTGGTACGCAGGAGGTCGTGGGTTCGATCCCGACCACTGAGCTGCCTGCGGGTATTTGGAGTTGCGTGTCTCCTCATAATATCATCATCACGGTGGCTGGAGTGTTAAACTACCTCGACTTGTAGGCAAGGAGGTCGGGGTTTCGATACCGACCTGACGCATGCTGCTGTGTATTTGGAGTTTGCGTGTCTCTCTCTCTCCCCCTGTGGTCGTGTGGATCCGGTTTTTCCCTCCACATTTAGAATGAAGATCAACACGCGTTTAGAGTATTTGGCTGCTGTACATTTCCACGTGATAAGCCACTTCGTTGAGCCATCATTTGCGGGCCAGGTCGCCTCTCAAAAGGAAACGAATAGCTCAGTTGGCTTTAGCTGCTAAAATAAGCATGTTCTTTTGGTAAAGTAAAATAAATTATTTTATTATGTTTTATTTTTATTATTTTATTACTTCCCTTCTACGTGACTTTACCGAAAGAACCAAGAAGATGAATCCCTGCAGTCACGAAAGCTTTAAATCGAAATTTACTATATTGTTTTACGATTTTGCTTACCTTTCCTCTCTGTGTTTTTGTAACTCTTTGTTGTTGTAGCTTTCACACCCCCGCGTCCCCCTCCTGGACATTTGTGAAAGAAGAAAAAAAGAGCTCTACAACTCATCGGAATTCCTCCAGCATCAACATTCCTGATTCACCTTTGACCTCTTCGATCTCTGCTCTGCGCACTCACCCTGTTGCCCCCCCCCCACTCCCTCTGCCCCCCCACAACCAGCCCGACCCACTGCAAGGGGGGCCCTCGCCCCGTCAGCTGGAACCGACAACAGGTGCGCCAACATTTAACGCAAACATCATCATCCTGCAGCTCTCCTTCTTCCGAGATTGGCTCATTGGGCTAAAGATGGGGGGTGGGAAGGCTGTGATACTGGGATACTGAAAATGCAATATTTAATATCTCAAAAACCTGATGTGATAGACAAAAACTGATGCCAGATTTGGAATCAGCACCCTAAAATTACCTTAAAACCGTTGGAATACCTTATGCCAGAAAAAGTGTGTTGACCAGTGCAATCAAAAGATTTTGATAATACTCTGAGACCTCCTTTACCAGTGGCAAAATATAGTATAAGGTTTTTGCCCTTTCAACTGGTACAAAAACTGAGACCTTTATACAAGGCATCATGTTTGCAATAACCACAACACAAGCAGTCAAAATGCAAGCAAAAAGAAACAACTCTGACGATGATAATGATATGCACTGTCCTTGAAGTTGATTGGTCCACACCCGAGACAGCTTTTCTTAGAGCCTAGTCTCCATTGGTGTTGGACCAGATGACGCCAAAAGGCGTACAACTCAAAGACAGCGCACTATCAGAGTATTGAGAGCTCGGGGTAAGCATTTATACTGAGACCTCCTTTACCAGTGGCAAAATATAGTAATAGGTTTTTGCCCTTTCAACTGGTACAAAAACTGACACCTTTATACAAGGCATCATGTTTGCAATAACCACAACACAAGCAGTCAAGATGCAAGCAAAAAGAAACAACTCTGATGATGATAATGATATGCACTGTCCTTGAAGTTGATTGGTCCACACCCAACAAAAGCTGTCTTGGGCGACGTTATTACACGCTTTTATTTAACTCACTGTCTGTTGTTGTTGTATCCTCAAATATTGTAACTCAATTTTAACCCACATCCCAATGTGGTATCGACTGAAAATTGGTACACTTATGTCATACTGATGACAATACTATTTTCTATCATAAAAAATATAATAAAACATTTTAAACAATATTTTTACACGCTTTCTATTAACTCACTCTGTGTGTTGTTGTTGTATCCTCAAATATTGTAACTCAATTTTAACCCACTTCCCAATGTGGTATCGACTGAAAACGTGGTATACTTATGTCATACTGATGACAATGCTATATTCTATCATTAAAATAAAAAAATAAAATTTAAACAATCTTTTTTATATGTTATGTTTCGGCTTGGGTCTAATTGTCCATGCTCAACTGACGTTGGCTGTAAATCACCACGGCCCCTTACGTTATTATGGCAAGTTTCGGGGCCACTTCCTGGAGTTTTGCCATTACGAGTACGGTACATTTCATTAAAAGCGTGTTTTTAAAAACGTATTTTTTAATATTATTTGTTTTGTTTACGTGGCAGTAGCAGAGGCTCGTTCTCGCAGCCTGTGGTGGCCGCTGCTGTGAGCACGGCAAATTGTGTTGTAGGCAGCCACTTAACAAACAAACAAAAACGTGGCTTTTTTAAATCCTTTATATTAAGTTCGCTTGCTTGCTTACGACCGTGCAAATCTTTCGGTCGTTTTTTAACCCACTTCCCGTGATCCAATCGAGCTGACATTTTCCACACAGACTCGTTGTGCGTGACAATTAATGTTCGTGAAAAAATTTTTCCAAAATTTTACACTTTTTAGGACAAAAATATTATATTTAATTACCAATTGCTTAATGGTGCAATGCAATCATCTGACCCATAGGTGGCAGCCATCTCAAGCCAGAGGACGAGAGGACTCTAGCCGCCACGCATATAAAGGATTTATAGTGAAAAACTTTGTTTTTACGGGTTATACTTGTTATTCATTCCTTTTTCCTAGAGATATTTCAGCCGGACCCAAATGCACCCGTTGCTTCCCCTAAGCCCCTGGGGGTGTGTGCCGATGCAGGGGCTTTGACTCGAGCGAGGCGGTGGAGGAGGCAACGGAGCACAGCTGCCTGGAGCCGCAGGCAGTGGCAGCATGGACTCATCGCCAGGTGAGGAACTTGCCCCTGGCCAGAGCAGGTGAGCGTGTCGCCCGGTTTTGCCAGGTGAGGGTGGTGGTGGTGGTGGTGGTGATGGTGATGGGGTACAATTGCAGTGTGGATCGTAGGGTGTCGTCGGGACACTGTCAGTGCTGGATGAAGCTAAGTGCGGGGCCTGTAGCATGATCTTCTTGGTTCTTTCGGTAAAGTCACGTAGAATGGAAATAATGTCGACAGACCAGCTCTCCACCTGAGGACGGCTGCTTGCGTTGTGGCCGGAACGTCGTGAGAATTATTATATTATGTTTTATTTCTATTATTTTATTATTTCCATTCTACGTGACTTTACCGAAAGAACCAAGAAGATGAATCCCTGCAGTCACGGAAGCTTTAAATCGAAATCTGTAGAATGATGTTATAAAGGGGCCGTAAATGAAATAAAACACGTAATATTAAAACACATAAATGTTTTACTTGCACAGTAAAGTAATTGTATTTTATCATTTGCGATACAACCGGATAATACGACACATCGCTAGCCTTAAACATCCAGTCGTTCATGAAAGTTGAAGGCGGTATAGTACTATAGTAATAGAGCAAGTGCAGAATCACTGAACCGGAATTGATAGCTTGGAAGCATTTAACGCGGGGCCCTTGAAAGTGCGGGCCCCGTAGCTACATGTATAACGGGTTCCGGAGACACTTGTAGAGGTAACTTCTTTATTACCATCCAACAGTCTAACAGTCCAATTACTCTGTTACAGCCTAGGTACACAGCCTAGATACACTACTCTGGCTACGCTCTGGAACTCGCCCTCACAAGGACGTAGAGCCGGGAGTTCCAGAGTCTCACCACTGGCCCTCACAGCGTCCCAGGGTCCTCAGATGGCTGGTCTTGGGTCTTGGGTCTTGAGCTACAACTGGCCCTGATCGTCCAGGGAGCTCCCCTTTTATACCTAGTCCCCAACGAGGGGTGGGGCCGTGTGCGCCCCCAGATATCCCACAGAGCACACACAGCCCCCCCCGTTGGTGGCGCCAAGCGGCTTAAGCGCCTGGGAACCCAACGCCTGGCGCCAAGAGGCTTAAGCGTCTGGGCCGCCTGGGAACCCAACGCCTGGCGCCAAGCGGCTTAAGCGCCTGGGCCCGCCCGGGAACCCAACGCCCGGCGCCAAGAGGCTTAAGCGTCTGGGCCGCCTGGGAACCCAACGCCTGGCGCCAAGCGGCTTAAGCGTCTGGGCCGCCTGGGAACCCAACGCCTGGCGCCAAGCGGCTTAAGCGCCTGGGCCCGCCCGGGAACCCAACGCCCGGCGCCAAGAGGCTTAAGCGTCTGGGCCGCCTGGGAACCCAACGCCTGGCGCCAAGCGGCTTAAGCGTCTGGGCCGCCTGGGAACCCAACGCCTGGCGCCAAGAGGCTTAAGCGCCTGGGCCGCCCAGGAACCCAGCGCCCGGCGCCAAGGGGCCCAAGCGCCTGGGCCGCCCAGGGTCCCAGAGCCCCCCAGCAGCCCCTCCCCTCCCATGTCACTACACATGTGTAGCTACTTGTGCTACGAGGATAATCCACCACTGGACACTGGCACCTAAAGGGGGAATATGCACGTGAAAATAATCTGTTGGAGGATATTCTTATAACACGCTTTTATTTAACTCTGTCTCTCTGTTGTTGTTGTATCCTCAAATCTTGTAACTCAATTTTAACCCACTTCCCAATGTGGTATCGACTGCAAACTTGGTATACTTATGTCATGCTGATGACAACACTATATTCTATCATTAAAAATAAAAAATATATTTTTAACCATCTTTTTTATATGTTATGTTTCGGCTTGGGTCTAATTGTCCACACTCAACTGACGTTGGTTGTAAATCACCACGGTTCCTTACGTTATGGCAAGCTTCGGGGCCACTTCCTGGAGTCGTGGAGTTCTTCCATTAAATTTATTTTTTAATATCACTTATTTTGTGAAGATTTTTCCGAAGACAAACATTAATTGTATCTATGGGACCCTGTTTGCCAGTGTCAAGATGATGGGTGTTAAGATGTTCAAACGCTGTTAATTTGTCCCAAGTCTGCAGTAGGCTACACGGGGTATATTTGTCTGTGTGATGTCGAGTGACGATGCCGTCCCGTTACAGAGAGACGCACGGTATCTGGGACAGGAGTCGAACCGAGACCGGACCCCGCACGGCTCCCCAGAGTGTGAGTGCACTGCTGTGTAAACGTACAGACGCAGACACACACACAGGTACAACAACAACCGCCATTCGCCACTAAGTGGCGGTGACGTCACCATCGACGCTTGTGCCAGGCCATGTGCACCTTGAGGCCACGTGAAGTGTCGAACGCCCGCTGGCAGGTCACGGGGCAGACCCAGCAGGTGCCACGGGTCGACTGACCGAGATGGGTACACAACAACAACAACCGCCATTCGCCACTAAGTGGCGGTGACGTCACCATCGACGCTTGTGCCAGGCCAAGTGCACCTTGAGGCTACCACGTGAAGTGTCGAACGCCCGCTGGCAGGAGGTCACGGGGCAGACCCAGCAGGTGCCACGGGTCGACTGACTGAGATGACCGAGATGACTGGCTGATGCACCACCTGTGCCCCCTACTGTGCCAACTCACTTACACACACACTCACTCACACACACACTCACACAGACACTCCACACACACTCCCACTCAACAACAACAATCGCCATTCTCCACTAAGTGGCGGTGACGTCACCACGACGCTTGTGCCAGGCCAAGTGCACCTTGAGGCCACGTGAAGTGTCGAACGCCTGCTGGCAGGAGGTCACGGGGCAGACCCAGCAGGTGCCACGGGTCGACTGACCGAGATGGGTACACACACAAACACAGGTACACACACACACACAAAGACCCCCGTATAGCCTTAACAGACTGTAGGGGCAAGTGCTGTTAGTGAGCACCTATGAAGGCCGGCACGGCACACGAGGGGGTGGGTGGCCAACACCACGCCCGGCCGCCTTTGTCTCCCTAGTGACGATGTTTACACATCGCACCAGGTACTTATTTGAGGCTGAGTCGACCTAGGGGAGGCCCAGGACCGGTTTGTCACTGATGTTGGCCATGAGCGGGAATGGAACCCGAGTTGCCAGGTTCGTAGCGCAGCGCGCTAACCGCTACACCACCGCTCCCCACACACACAGGTACACACATACACAGGTACACACACACACAGGTACACACACACACAGGTACACACACACAGGTACACACACACACAGGTACACATACACAGGCACACACACACAGGTACACACACACAGGTACACACATACACAGGTACACACACACAGGTACACACACACACAGGTACACACATACACACACACAGGTACACACACACACAGATACACACACAGGTACACACACACAGGTACACACACACAGGTACACACACAGGTACACACACACACAGGTACACATACACAGGTACACACACACAGGTACACACACACAGGTGCACACACACACAGGTACACACACACACAGGTACACACACACAGGTGCACACACACAGGTACACACACACAGGTACACACACAGGTACACACACACAGGTACACACACACACAGGTACACAACAACCGCCATTCGCCACTAAGTGGCGGTGACGTCACCACGATGCTTGTGCCAGGCCAAGTGCACCTTGAGGCCACGTGAAGTGTCGAACGCCCGCTGGCAGGAGGTCACGGGGCAGACCCAGGTGCCACGGGTCGACTGACCGAGATGACCGAGATGACTGGCTGATGCACCACCTGTGCCCCCTACTGTGCCAACTTGCTGTGCTTTAGCCACCCGGCGCTCCGCTCGTTGTTGTGAGCGTCGCTCCTCTGCCCTCCGTTGTTGCTGGAGGGCGACTGCCTCCAACTGCCCAGTAGGTTTTTTTCCGGGTGCGCCGGTTTCCTACTCCCACATGGTAACATCTTCATATGCAGAGGACGGCAAATCTTGGGGGGCATGGTGGAAGTTGCCACCGGCTTACTGCCTGGCTGCTGCCTTTCTGAGTCTTCTGTGGTGCTTAGCACCTCTGAGCCATCCTCTCTTTGAAGATTGCGGTGGCCGTTACAGGTTCACACGATTACGTGACAAACCTCACTGATTAGCTGTGTCGGGTGGCGATGGGTTTAAAGACATTTATATTTACGCGATCTAACCCCAAAACAACCTCCATTTTGGATCATGTTGGTGGCAAAAGCCTACGTGTTAAAGTTAAAATGTTTCTTATAAATGGGTGGATTGAGCATATATGTTCTAACCTCTCTATTTGTGTGGACGTGTATGTGTACACTCAGTGCCGAGGAGCAACCTGTAAGAATGGGAAGCTTCGTGTCGTCCCCAGCTTCAGTCACACCACATGACAGGCACATGGACACACACCGGGTTTCCAATTGGACGTAGAACCTCCTCCGCTTATCTAGAGACTTCAATGTCACAGCTATCAGAGTGATTTTCATCGTAAAGGGTCGAGTCAGCGCCTCATTCTGACCGCAAGGAATCAGGGGACTGTGGTATTGATGAGCTGTGTATGACCCACGGCCTTTGATCTACGATGAAAACAAAGCGTGATCGAAAATTGTTCACGACGCTAATCGTATATCTCTTTCTCTAGTATTTCTCCGCATTCCTCTAATTTTGCTGGACAAATACGATGCAATTTGCATTGTATTTGAGAGTCAGCAAGAGTTTTGTAACATTAACAAAAATTCAACTCACATGTAAGGGACAAATGGGGTCTTTGGCTGGGGTGTGGGTGGTGAGTGGTTAAACTGTGAAATTAAATAAGACATTTCTCGGGTGATAAAAATATTTCTCATTCGATGCATCCCAAATGCATCTTTCATTGTACTGCTCCAAGAGGGGCTCTGGTCGTCATCATGAAGCCGCCCCACCGCTACCCACACTTTCCCCACCCGCCCTCGTACCTCTGCAGTGCACGTACTCCACTACCCATTTTCTACACAGAAAGGCTTGGGGCCTAAAGAGGAAGGAGCGAGGCCTACACAACAAGGCTTGGGGCCTCTAGAGGAACGGGCGAGGCCTACACAACAAGGCTTGGGGCCTCTAGAGGAACGGGCGAGGCCTACACAACAAGGCTTGGGGCCTCTAGAGGAACGGGCGAGGCCTACACAACAAGGCTTGGGGCCTCTAGAGGAACGGGCGAGGCCTACACAACAAGGCTTGGGGCCTCTAGAGGAACGGGCGAGGCCTACACAACAAGGCTTGGGGCCTCTAGAGGAACGGGCGAGGCCTACACAGAAAGACTTGGGGCATAAAGAATAACGAGCGAGGCCTACACAACAAGGCTTGGGGCCTCTAGAGGAACGGGCGAGGCCTACACAGAAAGACTTGGGGCATAAAGAATAACGAGCGAGGCCTACACAACAAGGCTTGGGGCCTCTAGAGGAACGGGCGAGGCCTAGAGAGAAAGGTGTGGGGCCTGAAGAGGAAGGGGAGGGGGCAGGGATAATAACTCAAATCTGCGTAATCCTGAATAAGCAAATGTTTTAGAATAGTAGATGAAAACAAAAAAAATCATATCATTACTGACGCATATATAAACGTCACCAGTGGTATAGACATATTAATTCAGTGTTCTTGATATTGTTATTTTGTATGATGCGTGTATGATTACCGCACGGTTAGTATTGATACTGGCGTTGTCAGGATGCTTCTGTGTCGCTAGCAAGAGGCATCTCGCTTACATTGTGCCTTTTCTTACCAAATGTGATTTTTGCTGAGGCTAGAAAGTAGACGTGCAACACCGTTTGTCTGTAAAATACTCTGTAGACAAGGTTTTAATAAAGACAGTCGTAGTTTGGACTTAATAATGCTCTGACAGTGTCCTTTATTTCACCGGGCAAGGTCCTGAAGGCTCTTTTCAGCAAAGGTCCTGCTTGGGATGTTTGGCCAATGACTTGAGTGTGTGCTTGCGAGAGTGCCCGGAGAAAGCCTTCACATGCGAGGAGATAGGCTTTTGAGCAAATATTTATTTTTATGATCGGCCAAAAAAAAAAACAATGCAATTTTTTTAAATTTTACCAGGCAAGGCCCACTGAGCGGTACAGCTCTTTTTAAAAAGCGACATGGCCATAAATTATAGCTCAACTAAGTGGCTTATCAAGTGGACATTTATATAAGCAGCCAAATACTTTAAATGCGTGTTGTTGATTCTAAATGTGGAGGGGAAAACCGGAGGACCCGGAGAAAAATCCACGCGACCACAGGGAAAAGAGAGACACAAACTCCAAATATACAGCAGCAGGCGTCAGGGTCAGGATCGAACCCACGACCTCCTGCACACCAGGCGAGGGAGTTAACATCTCCTAGTCACGGTGATGATGATGAGAGAGAGACACGCAAACTCCAAATACACAGCAGCAGCAGGCGTCAGGATCAGGATCGAACCCACGACCTCCTGCACACCAGGCGAGAGAGTTAACATCTCACCCTCGAGTCCCTGAGCACCCCCTTCAGCTGTTGGCCATCGTCTTTACTTCCACATCACCGTGTCGGCGAGTGACTAGTCATCCCGTTGAGCAATCTGCCAATCACTTGATCCTCCGGGTCATCCCCATCACTCGCCTACTCTTGACAGCCACTAGTCAATGCTGCAAACTCAGTCGCCCCGACCCCTCCCCCCGCCCACCCGAGCCGCTAGTCGCCCTCGCGGGCGTTGGCGGGCAAGGCGTTGACGGGCAAGGCGTTGACGAGGCGGCTCTCCAAGTGCTCCAGCACGGTGTGGGGGTCTCTGTCGGCGTTGACGAGGACGGCGCGCGGATGCAGGAGCCGAGCGGGTGCCACCAGCGAGCGGAACTCGCGCAGGCGCTCGCGTACCTCGGCCTCCGAGTCGCGCGGGTGCTGGCGGCAGCGGGCCCAGACGGCGCCGTCTGGGGCCGGGCGGAATATCTCGTGGTACCTGCACGCGACCACCGTGACCGCGACGGCGGCGATGCACCGCGGTTAAAGGGCACGACGCCCGTTGTTATTTTTTTACGGGGTTCAAGGGTGAGGCGCAACTACTCGCGTGGTGCGCAGACTACCGCGCGTACGAACCGCGCCGTCGGCTACGTACGGTGCGAAAGAAGTTCAACATACATCCTGCCCATAGACTAACAATGCCCATATACTCAACACTGCCCATAGACTAACACTACCCATAGACTCAACACTGCCCATAGACTCAACACTACCCATAGGCTTCCACTTCCCATAGACTCAACACTGCCCATAGACTCAACACTGCCCATAGACTCAACACTACCCATAGACTCAACACTGCCCATAGACTCAACACTGCCCATAGACTCAACACTGCCCATAGACTCAACACTACCCATAGGCTTCCACTTCCCATAGACTCAACACTGCCCATAGACTCAACACTACCCATAGACTCAACACTGCCCATAGACTCAACACTACCCACAGACTCAACACTGCCCATAGACTCAACACTGCCCATAGACTCAACACTGCCCATAGACTCAACACTGCCCATAGACTCAACACTGCCCATAGACTCAACACTGCCCATAGACTCAACACTGCCCATAGACTCAACACTGCCCACAGACTCAACACTACCCACAGACTCAACACTACCCATAGACTCAACACTACCCATCGACTCAACACTACCCATAGACTCAACACTGCCAATAGACTCAACACTACCCACAGACTCAACACTGCCCATAGACTTCCACTACCCAAAGACTCAACACTACCCACAGACTCAACACTGCCAATAGACTCAACACTACCCACACTCAACACTGCCAATAGACTCAACACTACCCACAGACTCAACACTGCCCATAGACATCCACTACCCAAAGACTCAACACTGCACCTCCGATTAGCACGGTTGGCTACGTACGGTGTGAAAGAGGTTCAACACACACGCGTACAGACTACCTCGCGTGCCATAGACCCCGCTGGCGGCCCACGCCCGCACGTCAGCCCATTTCACGCGACTGGCCAAAACATTCCCAACCCAGCGCCTCGTCCTGAGAGGGAGTCCCGGACTCGGTGAACCTCTCCCCGGAGTCAACAGCGGGAGGCCCGTGGTTGTTCGTTGTGCGGCGCGCGTACCGCTCGCCCGTCACGGGGTCCGTCTTCCGCAGCGACGTGCGCTCCACGGCCGTGTCGTCCGGCACGTCGAGGATGAACACCCTGGGGTAGTTAAGCACAAACACAAAGACACAAACGCAAAGACACAAACTCAAATAAACAGCACGAAGGTACACGACTCACGATTGTGACTTTCACACAGCGTCTGCATGCGAGCGCGCATATAAAGAGGCCGCACAGAAGTAGCGGGCGTAATAGTTTGGTCTACGGATCACTGTGTGAGTCCGTGTTTATCTAAGTGAGGCGCTGGGTGTCTGTGAGGCTATGGATCTCGGTGTGAGTCGATGGGTCTCTTGTGTGGAAAGCCTCGCTGAGTCCGCAGACTCTTTTTCAAGAGGGTCCTGCCAACTTTTCACACGGTTGAGTTTTCGCAAATGAGTCATCGGCGAGTAACGTTTGTGGGCTGCGGGGCTGTTGGGTTGTCAGCTGCGGGCTGTTAGCTGTGGGTTGCGGGCTGTTAGCTGTTGGCTGTGGGCTATGGGTGGTGGGCTGGGGGCTGTTGGCTGTTAGCTGTGGGCTGTAGATGATGGGCGGTTGGCTGTGGGTTGCGGGCTGTTAGCTGTTGGCTGTGGGCTATGGGTGGTGGGCTGGGGGCTGTTGGCTGTTAGCTGTGGGCTGTAGATGATGGGCGGTTGGCTGTGGGCTGTTAGCTGTGGGCTGTGGGCTATGGGTGGTTGGCTGTTAGCTGTGGGTTGCGGGCTATGGGTGGTTGGCTGTTAGCTGTGGGTTGCGGGCTATGGGTGGTTGGCTGTTAGCTGTGGGTTGTGGGCTATGGGTGGTTGGCTGTTAGCTGTGGGTTGTGGGCTATGGGTGGTTGGCTGTTAGCTGTGGGTTGTGGGCTATGGGTGGTTGGCTGTTAGCTGTGGGTTGTGGGCTATGGGTGGTTGGCTGTTAGCTGTGGGTTGTGGGCTATGGGTGGTTGGCTGTTAGCTGTGGGTTGTGGGCTATGGGTGGTTGGCTGTTAGCTGTGGGTTGTGGGCTATGGGTGGTTGGCTGTTAGCTGTGGGTTGTGGGCTATGGGTGGTTGGCTGTTAGCTGTGGGTTGTGGGCTATGGGTGGTTGGCTGTTAGCTGTGGGTTGTGGGCTATGGGTGGTTGGCTGTTAGCTGTGGGTTGTGGGCTATGGGTGGTTGGCTGTTAGCTGTGGGTTGTGGGCTATGGGTGGTGGGCTGTGGGTGGTGGGCTGTGGGTGGTGGGCTGTGGGTTGTGGGCTATGGGTGGTGGGCTGTGGGTGGTGGGCTGTGGGTGGTGGGCTGTGGGTGGTGGGCTGTGGGTGGTGGGCTGTGGGTGGTGGGCTATGGGTGGTGGGCTGTGGGTGGTGGGCTGTGGGTGGTGGGCTGTGGGTGGTGGGCTGTGGGTGGTGGGCTGTGGGTTGTGGGCTATGGGTGGTGGGCTATGGGTGGTGGGCTGTGGGTGGTGGGCTGTGGGTGGTGGGCTGTGGGTGGTGGGCTGTGGGTGGTGGGCTGTGGGTGGTGGGCTATGGGTGGTGGGCTATGGGTGGTGGGCTATGGGTGGTGGGCTGTGGGTGGTGGGCTATGGGTGGTGGGCTATGGGTGGTGGGCTGTGGGTGGTGGGCTGTGGGTGGTGGGCTATGGGTGGTGGGCTATGGGTGGTGGGCTATGGGTGGTGGGCTGTGGGTGGTGGGCTATGGGTGGTGGGCTATGGGTGGTGGGCTGTGGGTGGTGGGCTGTGGGTGGTGGGCTATGGGTGGTGGGCTGTGGGTGGTGGGCTATGGGTGGTGGGCTGTGGGTGGTGGGCTGTGGGTGGTGGGCTGTGGGTGGTGGGCTATGGGTGGTGGGCTATGGATGGTGGGCTGTGGGTGGTGGGCTATGGGTGGTGGGCTGTGGGTGGTGGGCTATGGGTGGTGGGCTGTGGGTGGTGGGCTGTGGGTGGTGGGCTGTGGGTGGTGGGCTATGGGTGGTGGGCTATGGGTGGTGGGCTATGGGTGGTGGGCTGTGGGTGGTGGGCTATGGGTGGTGGGCTATGGGTGGTGGGCTGTGGGTGGTGGGCTGTGGGTGGTGGGCTGTGGGTGGTGGGCTGTGGGTGGTGGGCTGTGGGTGGTGGGCTGTGGGTGGTGGGCTGTGGGTGGTGGGCTGTGGGTGGTGGGCTATGGGTGGTGGGCTATGGGTGGTGGGCTGTGGGTGGTGGGCTGTGGGTGGTGGGCTGTGGGTGGTGGGCTGTGGGTGGTGG